AGGGCCTCTGCCTCTTCTAGATCACTGGTGATACTTACCAGCTTCTGGTATCAACCAAAAAGCATGGGTGGGGATGTGAAGGCGCCCTGTGGTTAAGCTGCCCTGAGACAGGTCAGGAAAAGTGTCCCGTGTGATGCTGAGGACAAGCTACATCTCCTTGCTCAGCTACCTTGCACTCGCTGTGTGTCAAAGACTGCACCAGGGCCTCTGGGTACCCCCAGAACTCAGAGCAGAACTCCTGATGATCTGGGGGGACATCCTGAAGCATGCTTCAGAAAGTTCAAGGCTGCACAGTTGTGAGCGCATTCGTCTTCCCGAGAACGTTCTCGGAGCCTACGAAACATCCTCAAACTTTCTCCAAGACGTCTCACATTTGTTAGTAAAATGGCCTTTTGCTCAGGATGAGGCAAGATGATGTTTTCTCATCAGACATAAGAGTTGAGCTTTTCTCAGTTCCTCAAAACCATTTGGAGTTCAAGGCTCACTCCCTTATTTGGTGCCAAGATCGGGCTAAACCACATGGGGCTTGCCTTTCTTTTTGTGACAACTGTGTGGTATGTTTGTTGTCATCCTGAGAGGAGTAAGTATCTGAAATGCCGTAAATGACTCGGGTTCATCTGAGGTATCTGTACGCCTTCCAAGCCTCCCTGTTAGGGCCGACAGCTCCCAAAGGAGGCGAACAGCTTTTACTCCTTCTCACAGCTAGCCCCCTCCCAGTGTTTCTTTTTGAATAGTCCAGAAGAGAACGGAGTATAGAATCAGCGGAGTAAGGGAGGATTTCCCTCTGTGAGGCCTGTTCCCCACTTATGGCTACCAAGTTCAGGCTACAATTTAAGACACTTTGGAGATGGCTAAGCTTTTGAACATGAAGATTTTTCTTTCTTGTAGCTGAACTGTGACACAGGTCATGCCCACTGTATCCCACCACTGGCACAAGCCAGTTAGCATTTATTGGGAACTCAGTGCACTGGGCAGCTAACGCTGTCTCCATGGTCTGTACCCTCGTAGCACTTACACAGATGGCCCCTACTGCCCATGAGCTGGACGAGTCCTGGCAGTGCTGTTAGCAGCTGTGTGCCTTTGGGCAGGCCACTTAGCTCTTTGGCCCCAGTTACCTCATCAGTAAAATGAGTAGCAAGAGTATCTACTTCATAGTTTTTGTGAGGATTCCATGAGTTAAAACGTGCAAAGCGCTCAAGACCCCGGCAGGCATATGGCAGGCATGCAGTGGGTGTCCCTAGGGAGATGTTCATTTATCATTCAGAGAACAGCTGCCACTGATGTATTTTGGGGATTCAGAGGTGACTGTCTGATGTGGGAGCACAGCAGGCACCAAGCATATGATTGTGGAAACTGAATGTCTTGAAGTAAAGGAGTTCATCGTCTACTGAGGGAGCTAAGCAGGCAAACCAGCACTACTGGGGCTATGAAAGTTTTTTGTTTTTGTTTTTGTTTTTTTTTTTTAAAGAAAAGATTTTATTTGAAAGGCAGAGTTACAGAGAAGCAGAGAGAGAGAGAGGACTTCCATCTGCTGATTCACTCCCCAAATGGCCACAATGGCTGCAGCTGTGCTGATCCGAAGCCAGGAGCTTCTTCCGGGTCTGCCACGCGGGTACAGGGGCCCAAGCACTTGGGCCATCTTCCACTGCTTTCCTAAGCCATAGCAGAGAGCTGGATCGGAAGTGGAGCAGCCGGGACTTGAACCCACACCTGTGCAGGCAGCAGCTTTAAAACGCTGGACCCTGCTATGAAAGTTCTATGGGATGGCACAGGAGAGGGAACAGTCACCTCTGCCAAGCTCCTCCCCCTAGACTCCTCAGAGGAAGCCCCCAGGAGTTTGTGGGATAGAACAAGAGGCCCCATCGACAGTGGCTTTATTAAGTTGGGGATATGTTTATAGATAAGCTTCAGCATCATCGTTATAGTTCCATTTCTTTTTGGGGGGGGGGACAGGCAGAGTGGACAGAGAGAGAAAGTTCTTCCTTTGCCGTTGGTTCACCTCCAATGGCTGCCGCGGCCGGCGCACCGCGCTGATCCAATGGCAGGAGCCAGGTGCTTCTCCTGGTCTCCCATGGGGTGCAGGGCCCAAGCACTTGGGCCATCCTCCACTGCACTCCCTGGCCACAGCAGAGAGCTGGCTTGGAAGAGGGGCAACCGGGACAGAATCCAGTGCCCCGACTGGGACTAGAACCTGGTGTGCCGGCGCCGCAAGGCGGAGAGTTAGTCTAGTGAGCCACGGCGCTGGCCTATAGTTCCATTTCCAAACTTTTCTGAACCAATTTTTTTTTTTTAAGAATTATTTATTTGAAAGGCAGAGTTGGCAAAGGCAGAGAGAAAGGGGGGAAGAGATCTTCCATCCATTGGTTTTGTGGTATTGTGCCAAATGGGCACAATACCTAAAGATGGGCCAGTCTGAAGCCAGGAGCTTCTTCTGGGTCTCCCCTGTGGGCCATTTGCTACTGCTTTCCCAGGTCATGGCAGAGAGCTGATTCGGAAGTGGAGTAGTCTGGACTTGAACCAGCGTCCACATGGAATGTCAGCAGCACAGGCAGCAGCTTTACCCACTATGCCACAGCGCCGGCCCGTGAACCAGTTTTATCTTACCAACACATTCTGCCTCAGGCGGTAGTGAGCCCTAAGTGCCACTCACTCTCTGTGTAATAGCCTAAATTGTTTCTTCCAAATTTGAGGACTCAAATTTGCCTTAGTCCTCGTGTTCTGGGATTCATTCAGTCCACGAGATGGCACTTTGGCAGGAAGTTTTCTGGGAGAGCTCTACTTGAGGGCTGCCTGTGGACTGGGGAGCTCGGTCAGTGTGCTCTCTCCCACTTCACCTTCAGCCTCTTCACTTTCTCCTCTTCCCTTTCTCTGCTGTGCGTTTTACAGGGGGAGCGGTGCCATCAGGCCTAGAGGAGAACCTGTGTAAGATCTGCATGGACTCACCCATTGACTGTGTTTTGCTGGAGTGTGGCCACATGGTTACCTGTACCAAGTGTGGCAAGCGCATGAATGAATGTCCCATCTGCCGGCAGTATGTGATCCGAGCTGTGCACGTCTTCCGGTCCTGAGGGCTTGCATCGGCTTCTTCAGTGCCTTACAGGGACACAGCCCAGGACGTGGGCCAGGGTTGGCCAGCTCACAGAGGGGCAGGCTGACAGAAGAAAATCTGCAGTGTTCCCAAGACCAGGGCAAGCAAAGATGTCGTGTCACCCCGGGCATCCCGTCTTGCGCCGGGGGTGTACCTCACGGCTGGCTGAGCTCCAGACCAGCGGGAACTGGTACAAATGACACGGTGAGTCCCTGTTTCAGCAGTCTCGGGTTGGTGATGGTAACAGATGAACAGAGGACTTGCCAGAACTTGGACCACGTCTTCTTCCCTTTCTGAGATCCTGGTTTCACCTCCTGTACCGCACCCCCTCCTGGAAATGCTCGCCTGTTTCAGCAGTCAGAAGTCCTGCTAGGAATGGTTGCCTTCTGCCCCAGCACATTTGGGTTTAAATTTCTGGTTTCTGGCTTTCTGTGCTTTAACCTACCTTTGCTGCAGTCTCTTGCTACATTGCCTAAACTCCATTTGTTTCTTTGGACCAAAAATATGCTAGTTTACCAGACCAATAATTGTCCTCAGGACAGAATCTGGACCACTAAACTTACCTCTGGGGAGAAATGAAGCACAAATGCTATAGGAAATGTGAGTTAAAAGTTGCTGAAGTGCTGGGTGGGATTGGAAGCTAGGGGTCCTGTCCTGATGCTGCGCGCCAACAAAGCATCTGGCTCGCAAACCTCTGGTCAATCCCAGTGTGTATGAAAGGGATGGTGCACGCCTCTTCTGGGGCCTGACTTTGCACTGCCCATCATGTCAGATGATGAGAGGGGCAGTGTTAGGTGGAGGTGGCAGCTCTCTGCTTCCCTCTGATGTCTGATCCCCCTCGTCCAGCAGGCAGGAATCTCAAACCACTTTGTTAAAGTTCCTGTCTTTCCCGTGGAGTTTTTAAACTTGGTCTCACTGAAAATGAAAGACTCAGGGAGAGCTCTGGTCTCTAGCCACACTTCTCATGCCGTTCTTGGAGACCAGACATGGACGAGCGCCTCGTAGTACAGGGAGGCACTAGATGACGCTGGGTTCTGCCCGTGCACAGACAGGTTGGTCCCTCTGGCTGCCTCTCCCAGCCTGCTGATCTGGGACAAGTCGGGGAGGACATGAGTAGGCGAGTCCTCACAGTCCACTGAGGCTGATGGAAGGGCTTCAGAAAAGCTTAAAAGTTGAGCAAAGCACAGCACCTCTGCTAACAGAAGCGCTGTGTGAGCCTCCATCACCAGGGGATGAACTAGGCAAACTACACAGCTGAGGGCCTCGGGAGCCCCCCCCGCCCCCCCCCGCCCGTACCATATACACACCCTGTGCAACCGAGACTGATGAGAACCAGCCGACTCAGAGTGGAAGGCAGTGGGACCCCTCTGAGGGGACCTGTTACACTGGTACATACTCATGCCTGCCCTCCATCAACCACTTACCCCTTTGTGGGGATGAAATGTTGTCATAAAGCAGCTGTCAAACACTAGGCTACTTCCCTTAACATCATAGAGTTCTGGGATACATTGACTCGGCCACAGCCTTGCACATTTTCCCATGAAGGTATCCTCTTTCCCTTATGTTGGACAGTGAATAATGTAGTTTACAATGCCTACCAATTTAGCAAAGGGTCACTTATTCAGCCACTCCTCGATTCTACTGTGAAACAGGTCTATGTATGTGCAACTCAGTTAAGATCTAGCAATAACTTCAGGGCAGAAGCTGGCTCTCTCCCTTATAACTTCCTTTTCCTGCTGAGGCCTTAACTCCCCTACCTCCCAGATACAAGTGGAAGGTAAGATGGGTACTGATAGCTGGGTAATAACCAGTCAGAACTAGGTCACTCATCGTGTAGAAAGAACTTGCCTTTTGATCTTTTATCCTCTACTGGTGAAGGGTCTCGTTTAGGAAAAAAGGTGTCAAACAACTCTGGTTTTTAAATATTTTTTTTGTATTTATTATTATACCAAATAAAAGTTGGGAATTCCAAGATCCCATTCCAGTTAATATCCAACCCAGGTAGAAAACTTTTATTAATTTTTTTTAATCCTTGAATCTTTGATCCTGCCCCTCTTGGATCCTTGGTCTTAATTATTATGGAAACATCTAATTCTTCCAATAATTCCATGGCTTTTGCTGTGACTGCGCTGAGATTTCGGTTGAGACATGAGTGGTTCATGATGCATTGGACTAGTTGGATCCAAATTATTAAGAGTAAGCTGTATAGAAATTAATACTCAATATATATTGTAAAATTTGTTGAAATCTCTTGGATGTGAATGTGTTACTTCAAGTGGCTTATATTAAGAATCTCAGACTGACTTGGGTGTTAAAGCAAACCCAAATATGTATTTTTTTGTTACAGAGCTCAGCTTTATAATTTTGTAATAAAGTGTCAACATAGATGCCTGTCCAATCCTGTGTGAGGGTGATCCCAGAAGTCTGCTGGCTCTGGCCGACAGAACTGACCAATCAGGCAGACCCCAGGCCCTGCATACACGGCCATGCTCTTCAGAGACTGCATTGCTTTTGGAGATGCTTGGCTATGTGGACTTGGTCAAGAGATCCTTGCTCAGTATCTTTATGGCCTGCCCAAGATCTCACAGAGAAGTATGTGGGAAAGGCCATGCAACAGCATGTAAGAGTGGGAGCTGATGGGAAGATCAAGTGGGAAGAAGCACCAAGCGAGTTGAGACATTTCCATTGGTCTAGCAGAGATGGGCCTTAAACTCTAGGTAGGAAAGAGTCTGAGGACAGCTACTGTGTCCGGTTTTGTCTGCAGGCTACTCTGAGCTTTTGGATAGCTGTGCTACAGCTGGTGTGTGGCTCAGCTCCAGCTGCATGGGCAATTGCTGTGTGTGCATAGGCTTGTATGTATCTCCCTGAACAGGTGCCCAAGGGGAAGGCAGAGTGGTGTCTGGGGTGTAGGGTGTGATGGGGAGGAGGAAGGAATCTCGTGCTCGGGGGGTGGGGGGAGCTGACCTGTTCAGTAGCCAGTGATGACCTCTGCCTGTCGCCAGCTTTATGGCAGCACTTATGGAAGGGTTCAGAGGAGGGCAGGCCTCCCTCATTCTGCTGGGGAGGTTTAAGATGACGTTGCTCAGGATCGTGTGGAAATACATGAAGGACTACAAAACGATCGTTTCAGCAGCAGAGTAAAGCATGCATCAGCCTGGTAAGAAACACGCATCGCAAACCTGTTGACAGTGAACTGCAACTAACAGGCAGAGAAGGGCCAAGGGGCTGAGCTAGCTGCTTAGTGAGGTGACAGTCTGTAGCTGGCAGAGCCCCTCTGCTGTGCTGACGCACACTGCGTGAGCAGTCAAGGGCAGGTGGAGCTGGGACTGGGTCAGCTAGGCTCGAGACTGGAAAGCCCTGTTCTGCGGCCCCGTCTGGTTGTTCGGCCTGAGGAGGCTGGAAAGGGGGAGGGAAATCTATGTAGGTCAGTGCTCAAAGGAACAGTTCTTTTGTTTCCAGAGGATGGAATAAAAAGAATGTCTCTGTCCCAATACTGAAGCCAGACTGAATGGTGCCTATTTAAAAACACCAGTTGTCCTGAGCTGGTTGGGGAGTACTCACCCTCTGTCCCCCAGCATATTTTCAACAGTAGGTGAAAGACAAGGCCACTGAGATGAAAGCTGGCCTCCCAGCAGAGCGCTGCCTTAGTTGAATACATGAGGGACGGAGGGTGAGATGTGGTCCTTGAGCTCACAGGCCCACTCAAGTGTTCAAGAGGTTGCTGTGTTGACCCGGCTCACAGGAGCTGCATGAGAACTAACCTGTTTAATGAGGAAAGAGCTGGCAGGTCTGGGACATGGACCAGGGTAGACACGACTCCAGGGGCCTGTCACACTGCACTGAGTGCTTCATGCGATGCGTCTGAGGCCATCTCTAGTAACCCCATGTGTAAGCATCACTGGAGTTCCGCAGCTGTGCCATGCACATTTATCCGTGGCCAGCCCAGCCTGTGCAGTGTTAGCAGGATACTTCCAAGGCTGCAGCACATTCTGGTGAAAAGCACTTGTCTATGCTAAACTGTCTTCCTTTTGTTCTGCAGATAAGCACCCACAGCTGGCACAGGAGCCCTTCTTTCTAAGCGAGTGGTATAGATTTGCTCTTGGGTGTGGGTTTTATTCTTAAAGAGCAGCCGGTCTTGTTTTCAGATTTGGGGAGGCAGGTAGTAGCCTTAGGAACCTCCCTTTGCTACACATGGGCCTCATTGTCCTACCTGCTCCTAGTCCCATCCCCTCACACTGGGAACTTGCACCCTGTAACAGAACCCAGAGAATAAGGTCATCAAAGTTCATTTTTGTTTTCTTTAAAAAGAGGGTTTGTCCCTGGCAAACAAAGGGGACGAGGCTGAATGCAGGTTCTGCCAGAAGCGCTTCTTAGGGCAGTCTCTGCAGCGTGACATAGAGGAGCCGGCACGGAGGAGACTCCACAGCCCAGCCTTCGCTCCTTAACTGCTAGGGGGTGGGAAAGGACAAAGATACTAAAGGTATTTGATTTATAAAAAACACCAAACTTCTTTTTAAAGAAAACAAAAAGATGACAAAGCCAGCACCCAGATCTGAAAGATCTATTTAAGCCAGCAAGAGAAACTGACTGCACTCGGGGTACCCAAGTGCAGAAGAGACCATGAATATAGTCAGTGGGTTTGGAAGACGCACTGCTTGCAGGAGAAAGCCCATCCCCCCACCCCCCTCCTGCGGCTCCTCTGTCTACTGCCTCCAGTCCTAGCAGGGAGCTACCAGCCTCCGTTTCCGGATGCATGCCCAAATCCACTCTGGGGAGACCAGCTGGGCCTCAGAATTCTTGTCCCTGCTACCCAGCACGTGTGTGGCTGAGGCCATGTCAAATTCCTGTACCAGGTCTCCGTTGAATGCCACAAAATAGCGTCTGAGGCGGCTGAAGTCTGGTGTGGAGGGTGGCAAGTAGAGCCGCACCCCAGTGAAGATGTCCAGCAGCACCTGCAAACGCACAGGGGTCAGGGTGGGGTTGAGCCTGCACTGGGCGCAGATGGGGCTTTACCCAGCGAGTACAGGACAGCAAATGCAAGTTGGACACGGAGGGAGCTGAGTTTAGGACACTGGCAGAGTTTCCAAGAGAAAAGGCAAGGCATCACTTGGCGCCATCCTTCAGTCATTCCACGTGACATGCCATTCATCCCTGCCTAGAGGTAAAAGATGGGACCACGTCTCCAGGAGCCATCCAGTGGCTCTCGGACTCAGTGCCCACAGATGCCGTGATAGCTCCCAAAGATCAAGCAAGTTCCTCTGCACGACTACCCGGGCTGTGAGGGTCAGGACTCCTGTTTGTTACTGTGCCTGGGCTCCAGGGTTCTGGGCAGGGGAAGGATGGGAAAGGTTTCCCCCAGTCTGGGTTCAGGCCCCAAGTGCTCGGAGTGTGTGCTTCGTTTGGGTGGAGGCAGGGCAGTGGGGAGCACAAATCACACCGTGGAGTGATCGCAGGTTTACTTCTCTATCTACTCTTTGGGCCACCAGCTCCCCAGGCTTGAGCCGGCACTGAACCTAGTTGTGGCCTCAGTGGGTGCTCAACTGATGTTGCCAAACCAAAGACTGACAACTGCGCACGGAGAAAGGCTCCTCAGCTGGAGGAGTCACCAAGCCAGTGCCTTCTCCCGGGCTCCGTGATGGCTGCACCTGCTCCCGTCCTCGCCACAAACTCACACCACTACACTCCCATGCCCAGATTGGGCTTGCTCCCTTTTATTGGACCTTGGGACCAGCAGCTGTGGGCCTTTGCAGCCTCTCCTGGCTAGGCCGGGCTCTATCTCCTGCCTGCTGGCACAGCTCTCCTTCCTCTCTGCTGTCTGGCTGGCCGCCTCTGCCTCTGCAAGGCAACAAGAGGGTACAGGGTGCAGCAGCAGCAGCACTGCTGGCCCTGCCCATTCCCAAGAAGCAGTTGTAGGAGGGCAAGGGGTTTAGCCAGTGTTTTTCAAACACCCTTGCTCAGTTTCAGAGTTCACGTCCAGGCTGGGAACACTACCCTGGACCCAGCTGGCCCGCCTGGGGTTGCTATGTCTGTTCTTACCTTTGCTTGGCACGGGGGCTCATCAGTAGCTTTCCGCTTCTCCCCTACTTTCACCGGGGAAGACTTCCTGGCTAGCTTCTCCTCCAGTTTCACAGGGGAATGCTTTGTGCTCAGCTTGTTGCCTGCAGGACAGAGTCTGGGATAAGAACTACGAGGATAGGGACTGTTGATAATGGTCTCTGGGACAGCAAAGGGAAGGGCCAGACCCTTCTGCTGCTAGGAATGTAGGAGAGGGGGAGAGAATATCAGCTAAGCCCTTGAGCTTCAAAGGGGCTTAGCCCCTGCTCAGATTGGTTCCCCCAGGAAGGCATCTTTCAAATTTCCCAAGCAGATGGAGTGCCCAGCAGGACCGCTTCTGGCCCACGGCTGGACACAACAGCAGGAATGCAGTCAAGGTCAGCTTTATGGACACAGAGAATCACATGACCTCAAAGCTGGACCCTGAGGCCAGGCCCGGGCCCTTCAGTCTCCGCCTCACAGCACCCTCTCCTGCTTACCGCCTTTGCCGTTGGCATTACTCTGCTTCCCTTCAGCCTTCCTGGCACTCGCAGAGGGCTTGCTGGGGGCTTTGCGGGACACAGCAGGTCCGGAGGCACCCTCATTCTCACCACTGCTGCCCCCTGTAGAGGAGCTCCCCTCATCTCCAGCCACTACGGTGAAGTCTGCTTTCTCCTTGGACAGCTGATACAGTTCCTGAGGAGTGCAGGAGAATGACAAGGGTTTCACTCCCTCCCCAGACACAGGCCTCAAGTGGTGGGTGTGGTGGCGTAGGCACTGGTGGCTGGGAAGAGGAGCTGGCTTCCCTGGTTCTTAGTGTGGCCCTGTAACTGAGTGCTCAGGATGCCCACCACTGGTATCTGTGCACCAGTTCCTAATCAACACAGCAGGGACCCTGTGGAGAATGCCAGGCTGGTCACTACTGGGAGCTGTTCCTGGCCTGCTGCCAGCTGGGTGTCCCTGTCTTCCCACTGTCTCCCTGAAAAGGGGGAAGGAGATGAGAGGGTGGGTGAACAGGGCAGATGCCCACGATGGGACAGTGGGGTGGGGACACCCACGGGGCCCAGTGCTGGCACCTTGAGTTGTGGGAGGTTAGTGGCAGATTTCCAGTCCTTATCGTCCCGGATTCGTGTGCAGCGAGGGAATCGGATGGAGATCCCGTCAGCCGTGTGAGCTTCAGACTTGGAGAATTCAGCCCCTGTGATCTCCCACACAGCAGCTTTCTGTCAGGAGCAAGGCAGACAGGTGGACACTGGTCAGGAGGAAACGTCTCCCATCCAGCTAGAAGCAATACAGAACAGTTAAAACCCACCACGTCCGGCTAAGAGCTGGCAGACTGACTGGGCTTTTAGGAAGCCTTGTCTTCTCGTGAGCCAAGTGCTTCTAGAACAGAGTGGTGGGTACTGGTATTCTTCCTCCCTGTTGAAGATGACTCCTCAGGACCCCACCCTGCCGGGTACTGGCTAAACTCTCTAGACCCCACCAGCCTAGGTGGACTTGCATTATGGCTGAGATGGCTCCTCTGTGGCACCAGAGCACTTGCCATTTGATTTTTGCGGGCAGGACGATACCTTTGGGTCTGGAACAATGAAGTCAGGATAGTAGATCTTGTTGATTTTCAGCCAGCTGGGTATTTTGCTGGGATCCTGGAGGAGAAAAGATGTTATTCTGGGCTGTCAAGCTTCAAGCCTCTCTAGGTAATGGGATTATGAGAAGACTGGTCCTCCCTGTCCCGAGGTATGTGGCCCAGAGGGCCCACAGGCCAATTTCCACAAGCATCGCACTCTGGTTTTAGGCCTAACCTGCCCCCAAGGCCAATCAGTGTTTTCCTTTGTCGGGGGAGAGAGAGAAACAACGCGTGCTCTGCCCTGTAGTGACAGCCAGTCCAGAGTCAACCAGGTCCTGTCCTCACCTTGCTTATTTTTACCATGTCCAGTTCCTTCTGCAGGCGGGCAAGTGTCGCGTCGTCATGGCCTCCCGCACACTTGGTGACCGTGCACCACTTCTGGCTGCTGGGGTCATAACAACCCATGAGGAAGATCGACATCATGCCACCTGGGAGGGGAGTATGGCCGAGTGTGGGTGGGGAGAACCTCTGCCATCCCCGTGAGCCTGGCGAGTGGCAGCTTGGCAGAGAGGAACAGGCTGGGCTGTGGCGTCACAAGGCCAGAGTTCACCTCTTCTGCGCCCTGTAACTGTAACCTTTATGAGCCCCCGTTCTTCAGTCAATCAGGATAGTCCCCTCCCGGCTGTGGGGCTGTGGGGAGGGTAACAGTGTCTGGGACATAACAGACTGCCTCAAGTGTCAGCTTCGTCTTCGGGCAGGAAGAGATTTTCTGTAGGAGAAAGCTGTCAGGCCCTGAAGTAGGAGTTAATTTAAAAACAAGGAAGGAAGCTCACCACTATGTGAGCAATTGTTTGACCTTTTCTAGTAGTTTTACATCACTACTTTCCTTAGTTTGGGTTCACTGGTGAGCTTCCTAACGCCACGCTAGCACAGGGTCTTGCCCACCTTCTCCCTGCCCGAGTCTGAGATGTCCAGTCCTAGCCCAGATCCTAGGACTGCAAGTGCTGGCTGTGCTGGCAGACAGAGCCAGTAAAAAGGCCAGCCTGAAGGTCAAGTGGTCCCTTTTAAGAGTACCATCCCGGCTGACCTTTGCTCCCTTGCCCATAGAAGGCCCCAAGGACGACCAGGTCAGCCGTGTCGGCCATGGCACCCTCGTTCAAATAGTCTTTCTTCACTTTCAGCCAGTGCCGCTTCCCAGGCTCGTATGTACCCTGAGGAGAAGGAAGAGAGACACCACAAACTAGAGGAGCAATTCCCCCAGGAGAGCGGGCTTTACCCCTCACTGCCATGTCCCACAGCCATCACGGTGCCCTGCTCACCCTGGGGGAGACCTCAGGCTCCCGCCACTACCGGAGCTGCCCACAGGCCCACCTTGCAGAGCCAGCCCCCGGCTGCTACCCCTGGGGTGGCAGGGATGGAAGGGATCAGGGAGCAGGCTGCAGCAAAGGCTGCAACCACCTTACCTTCACATCCTTCAGCACCAGCCCTTCCAAGCCCTCCCGGATCACCCGGTTTATCATGTCGGCCAAGTCCGAAGCTTTCTGAGGGACAACAGGAGAGAGGCTGAGGGTGGCATGGGAGTGAGGGGCGGTGGCGTGGGAGTGCCTGCTGGAAATGCTGAACTGGACAGAAGGCACAAAGGGTTTGCAAAGCAGGGGCCTCTCCACTCCAGCGCCGCTGCAGGTGTGAGGCACGGGCTGCTGGCCCAGGCAGGACTTTCATGCCCTGCCCTCCTGGGGGAGACCAGCAAACACCCCAGCAGCTCCCTCTGCCACCTGACCCTAGGCATCGCTGCCTTGCTGTCAAACCTCTAGGACTCTGCTCAGGGAAGGGCCTTTCCTTACTGTGACTCGCTTCATTTCTGAGAACATGATCCTGTTGGGAATTTCAACCATGTTGTCATGAAGAAGCTTCCGCCGCTCACACAGAGGTCTAAGAGGAAGAGGAGAGCTGAGGTCAGATCAGGGTCTTCCCGCCCCTAGCAGGAGTTCTGAGGGAAGGGGCGCGGTGACAAACTACTGCTTCATGAGAGGGTCTGCTTTACACGAAAGCTCTCGTGTGAGAGCTCAGCTGCAAGGGAAGGGGCCAGTGCCGTGGTGCAGTGCCCACATCCCATATGGGCACTGGTTCGAGTCCCAGCTGCTCCACTTCCAATCCAGCTCTCTGCTGTGGCCTGGGAAAGCAGTGGAAGATGGCCCAAGTGTTTGGGCCCCTGCACCCACGTGGGACACATGGATGAAGCTCCCAGCTCTGGCCTGGCCCAATCCTGGCCATTGCAGCCATTTGGGGATGTGAACCAGTGGATGGAAGACTTCTGTTTCTCCCTTCCTCTCTGTAACTCTTTCAAATAAATAAACCTTAAAAAAGCAAAAAAGCAAAAAAAAAAAAAAAAAAAAAAAAAAAAGCTGTTGGGGCTCCACTGTGACTGAAGATGGGCAACTGGGAACTATGTAGTTCCTATTGTTACGCTATTAAACAGGGGAGCACTGGCCTCTAGCTCAGATTGTACAAATCCTGGTCCTACTTGAAAAAATGACTTCAATTCTGATTTTCTATCCCCAGTACCCTGTTTTACGCCCAGGCTGGCTTGAGACAGGCTGCAGGACCAAAACCCCAGGGCCTACCCCAATAGATCTTTCTCCTTTCTGCTTCATTCTACAATCAGGGACGTGGCTGATGCAGAAGTAGGGGTCAGGGTACATTTCTAGGCATGGACAGGGCTAATACCCAGGCCCACCATGAAGCTAAGTAAAAACTGCCAATTTACCCCAAGATCAGGAGCTTCCTGTTGTCAAAACCATTTGCTTTATGCCCCCATGGGTGCTACTGCAGAAATAAACTTTGCTGTGCTCCCAATCAATTTCTCTGCAACAGACCATTCTGCCCAGAAAAAAAACTTCTTTGGGGCCAGCGTTGTGGTGCAGTGGGTTAAGCTGCAGCCTGCAATGCCAGCATCTTACATCAGAGTGGCTGGTTTGAGTCCTGGCTGATCTGCTTCTGATCCAGCATTCCTGCTAACGCGCCTGGGAAAGGCAGAGGAAGATGGCCCAAGAACTTGGGCCCCTTCACCCATGTGGGAGACCTAGATGGAGTTCAAGGCTCTTGGCTTTGTCCTAGCCCAGCCCTGGCTTTTTTTAGCTGTTTGGGGAGGGGACCAGCAAATGGAAGATATACCACCCTCCCCCTCTCTCATTCTGTCACTCTGCCTTTCAAATAAATAACCTTTTTAAAAAACCAAAGAACCAAAAAGACAAACACCTCTGCTGGAGGTTTGGTTTTGCTCTGTGACTGAAGCTCCCAGAGATGAGAGCTATGTAGTAGCTGTGCTGGCTCTCAGCTCCCTCCTGCCACTGCTTCTGTCTAGCTCCTGGGCACAAAGACACAAAGACACACACACACACACACACACACACACGGGCCAGCCCCTTCTTCCCTTCTGACTGAAGCTCTCAAACCCCAAAAATCAAGTCCCAACAGTTCTGAATTAAAAGATGCTCGCCAACTCACCGATCCATCAAACTGACATCATTGAAGTAGATACAGTCAAAAACAAACAGGCACACATTAGCGTCTTGGAAGGCGGCTTTCTGTAAGCAGAAACAAGGTGGTAGGTATGTCAGGGGCATCAAGAGTGGGGAGCACCAGTCCCCTTCTGATGTGTGCTGAATTCCTGGGCTACCAGGTGCTAAATGGAAACCAGCCCAGTTATAAGTTGGTTCCTTTATGAGAGAAAAAAATCTAAGCTCAAGGTTAAATTCAGAAATAGTTCAGAAGCAAAGACTAAACTCTACCCTAAGTGACATATTCTCTTTGCAGAATGACAGCACGCACACATGCACACTTTGTTCTCACACATACGGCCCCAACCAATACCTTGTGCACTCCCAGAGTCCCAAAAGGCAGTGGTTTTCCTGTGTTGTTGTCAATCAGGAGCACCTCAGAGTCCAAGATCATGCTGTGGCCCCCAGGGAAAGCCTGAGGGATGTAGTCCTTAAAGTGAGCCACCTGGAAGCAGGAAGGCAGCCCTGGTGAGGGGTGAACGGTGACAGGGACCTGCAGCCAAGCCCCAGAAGGAACACAGAACAAGGGATGGAAGCCCAGCCACAGGACAAGAGCGAGAGAGGTCATCTCGGTCACTCTGTCCAGACCTGGGAGAAGCTCAGCTAACATGGAGTCATCCTCTGTGGGATGCAGAACAGGAAGGGTTTTGGAGAAAAATGGAAGAAGCTGAGGAGGAGGAGGGAGGAAGGCAGGAGCAGGCAGAGATCAGTGCTCCTTGTAGAGGACAGACCTCAGGATGAGGAATGGGACAGGGAGAACAGACTGGTTAAAGACAAAGGACAACAAAAGGAGAGCAGGGTCTTTAGAATAAAAAAGAATATCTGGAACTGGACTTCTCTTGATGGTGGCACAGTCCTCATTCATGACAGCATCAGATAGGAGAGGTCCCACTGTAAGCCAGATAGTCCCTCCCAAGTGAGACCAGCAAGGGGTCCGGTCCCGAGTCCAAACCTGGCCACAGCAAACAGGCCGTCACCGCCAGGGGGCTTGAACAGGATCAGCAAAGGCCTGCCCTTCCACCCCGCTCCCTTCAGTCCCCAGCCCAGCCCTTTAAAAACCAAAAACCTAGGCGAGGATGTGAACCTTGCTAAAGGGAAAGTGGGAGTCAGACATCTTCCTGCGTCACAGGAAGTACCCGTTTAACACCAGCCTCTCCAGAGCAGCTCCCGAGCGGCTGCGGCGCTGCACAGACAACTGAACCTGAACTCATGTTCCACGTGAGGTCACTGCTCGGCTCCCTCTGGAAGTCCTGCTTTGTTCCTAGCGCTCCAGCACAAATTAAGGCTGAAGTAAGCACCTGCCCACACAACACATCCTGCCAAAGGCCAGCGGTTTGAAAACCCGAGTTGGAGCTGGGCAAGAAGGAGGCAGCAAAGTCAGGAATCCCCCCACTCCTAAGCCGGTCTGGGAAGGACTGCGCAGTGGGCTGCTCAAGCTCTGTGGCAGCCGGTGGTGTCTGTAGATGTCCCCATGGTTACGTGCTTCTGTCAGAACACATGCTTCCTGAGGGCTGGAACTCTTGTCCATTTCCTTCAGTGCTACCTGTCCACTAGCTACAACAGTGCTAGAACATTGGATAAATATTTGCTGAGCAAATTAACGAATGCCAGTCCAACAGCTCCTCGGACACAATCCTCATCTAGCCCAGGAACAGCACACAGGTCATGGAAAGGCAGAAGACGTGCACAGCGACTCACCAGCTGAGCTCCCTGTCCCAGCAGCACTGAGGGCAAGATCCCTGTCCCAGTGAGCTCTCCTGACAAAGCCAAGGTTGGGCTGTGGCTCTCCATACTGAGCAGCTCTTTGTTATTGGAAGAGTCCAAAGAGGAATTCACTCACTCAATAAACAAACCCTAACGTGTCCCAGAGCTGGAATGCCTATGGAACTCTGGCCCTGAGATTCTCAAAGGCAGGTGGGACAGAGTCCTGGCGAGAAGGGAGAGACTCATACCTTGTGAGGCAGGACGGGTTTGAGACTGCGGCTGAAGTAGCTGAAGTGGTCGCCATTCTTATGCACCTGGACTCGCTCGCCATCGTACTTGATCTCGGAGAACATGCCGTTGGGACACTTCTTCATTGCGTACTCGATGGACTTGCAGGCCTCAGCCTTAGGGTAGGGAAAGCAAAGCCTGGAGCCTTTGAGCAACGGGCTGCTTAGCAAGGACAGCCAAAGAGCAAGGAAAGGGTTCTTCAGATCCTGGAACCACATGGCCCAGTGTAGGATCAGACAGGCTGCTGACGAGGTGATGGGAACCCAAGGGGCTGGGCAATGTTGGATTCTGACTACAAAGTCCTCACCAGAGCTGACATCGACCTTGCATTTTAAGAAATGTGAATGTTACTCGTTGTAGAACAAAATTCCATGGCAACAGGCCTATTTTTCTCAATAATTTAGACTCTTGCCTGCCTCTGGCTTTTTACTAGAGCCATCAGTTATCTCAGCACAAGAGGGAAGTAGAGGTAAGGTGGCTGGTGGGGAACAGCAGTTAGGGATCCCCAGGATAGGGCACTCAGACGCAGGGGTGCTCACGTACCTGTGCCAGGTACTCAAACAACAGCAGCTGCCATTGGGATCACACCCCTCCTCGTATTTCCTCCCTGCTGTGACACCTTATGTGACAAACACGGTTTCCGTTTTATGGATGAGAAACTGCAGGTCAGTTACATGGCTAGTGAATAGCAGCAGTAAGATCTGAATCAAGGCCTAACTCCAAAGCCTGTGTGGTTAACAGCACTAAGCTGTACAACCTATGCTAGTGCTTCAAGTGTCAGGCCACAGAGAGTCGGAAGGAATTCTTCCAGCAGCCTTGGCAGCAAGATCTCACTAATTTGGTGATGGCTATTCTCACATTCCTAGTGGGGAGAGAACATTTTCCTCTCCCAAACACAGAACCTTATGCTGGAGCTTTAATGTAACGTTAAGGCAGTTCCAGAAAAAGCATTGTACGCTCTGGGAAACCCAGAGTCTCACAGCAGACAGGGTAGTGGACAGGGTGGGTGCCAATGCACAGGGGGACCACTGCCAGAAGCGACATGGACTTCTCATGAAAGGAACAGACGCCCCTTAAGCTTCCTCTCTCCCCAGGCCACCCCGTTACAGGAAGCCTCTGCTGCCCACTCTCAGAGCTACTTCCCAGCAAGACACAGAGCCTCAGAGGTTACTTACATATCCACGTGTCTTCAGGTAAGATAAAGCACCTGAGACGATGCTTCAGAGAATCACACATGCCACTCACACAAGAAAACTAGTCTGAGGAGGATACACAACTCATCTAACAGTCCACAGCTTGGTGGTGGCAGAGCTGGGACTGGGTTCAGGTCCTCCCACAGGATCGCCTGTCTTCTGCTTTGCTTCCACACTCCCATCAAGAAATGCTCCCTCACATCTCCACTCTCCTCAGACCTCTCCGGTCAACTCACACGAGCTCAACATTCACAGCCAGGCAGACCTCACTGTGAGGGATGTGCAGCTTGGAGAGGCGTGGGCAGCAGAGGCAGGGGCGTGCTCCTCACCAGCATGGGCTGCACAGGCGTCATCAGAGAGGCCTGGACGCTCAGAGCCCGTTTGCAGCCTGGCTCCTTCTCCACCTCCTGCTCATTGCGCAGGACCCGCTCCACCACGTCCTGCAGGTTGCGCGAGGCTTTGAAGGCTTCATAGGCATTGGGGTCGAGGGCATCTAACCTGCCAGTGGGGACAGGAGCAAGGAAACAAAACCACTGCCTTTGACCTGATGGCTTTGGGGAGCAACCTGTCCTCACAGAGAGGAAAGCCCAATCTAGAGGGGAGACGTTGTGCTTTCTTGTCCAAAAACTTTTATAGGAAGGGGGAAACACTCTTGGAAGGTTGTCTTTAGTGACCCTGTGACTATGTGGATGCCAGCTCAGCAGTGGAGGGGCCTGGGTTGGGCCAACTACACTTAGTACATTCCATACTCAATTTTAACAACTCTGTGATGAAGGTATTGTTAGCTCTTCTTTACATATAAGAAAATGGAGGTAGAGAAAGAATCGTTACCCTGCAGGAAGAAAAATGGGACAGGATTCCAGATCAAGACTCCAAAGATCTGACACCAGCTGGGGACAAAGAAAGCTGACAGCTTAGGCTGTCGCAGGAACTGGCACTTACACATGCTTTGCACCCGAGTTCATCTTCAGATCATGTTTGATCAGCCTGATGATGCACTTAAGGTCATTGGCTGTGCACCTAAGGAGAGGAAGCACATTCAACACGACCTCTGAAGAGCTCTGGATGCTCCAAACCGAAACTCCCAAGTGATCCAGCTCCCGGAGCCCATCCCCACCAAGTGTGGCTTGATGGGGCAACTCCCCCACCTGGAGGCGATGTCCTGTAGGGCCTGCTGCTGTTCATCTTCTTTGGTGAGCTTGGAGAGCCGCAGGAGGAATTCATCCACTTCCTGGATGGTAAGGAGGCTCTTGGCAGCTGGGGGGAAAGACTTGCTCTGCTCAAAGAAGACTCTGATTGTCTCTGACACGTCACCCTGTCTCCAAAAACCAAAATGCCACTGCTACAACCCCAGGGTGGCCAAGTGTGTCCCCCAAGACCTTAGGACTAAAATGAGTCGAGATTTCAATCACAGTTCCTGTCCTCAACTCGGTGCATGTGGGAGCTTCAAAAAGTGCATAGAAAATCACATTATCCAGTAATTTCCCTTTTCCAACTAACCTTTTGAAGCCCCCTCATATTTACCTAACTTAGAGACTCTGGCCCAGCCACTGCTCCTAGAAGGGGCACAGCTATCACACAGGACCTGCCCACCTGCTTTGGCTGACAAGAATAGACACAGGAACTAATCCAGGGCTGAGCCAATTTGATTCCTGCTCTAAGATCTGTTAACAACTAACAGACAGATATTAGTTATCAGATAGGGGGGCACTTGGATGGAAACTTTCTACGGTACCCGCTGGCATTACAAACAAACCAAAGCTGAATGGCAAGGCCAAAGTTATAGGGGCAAGTCCAGAATGAGAATCCCAGGTGAGAACAGGGAAAGCTCAGATCCTGACTTTTGAAAGTCTTTGCCGTCTGTGGCTCAGCAGTAGCATAGTTTTAGTCCTTGGGAGCTCATGAAGTGAACAGCTGTAGCCTCACATTCAGCCCCTCCCATAATGGTTTCAGTTTCCTAACACAGGAAGTGCCCCACCCAGAAAAAAAGTGGCTACAGTGCCTGGCCTGGCAGAACCCCACCTAGAACAGGGCCTATTCTCCCTTCCTCTGACCTGCTCTAGGTCCCGCGCCATATCGTCTGGGTTGCAGTTAAAAATGCGGCTGAAGAGCTTCACAATCTGCTTGTCATTCAAGTTGTAAACACTCTTAATGACCCCCGGCAACAGGAGCTTCACTGTTAGGTACGTATCACCGCGGAAACCATCTGGAGACAGAAGAAAGGAACCCTACTTGAGAAATGCAGCTTAAATGAATACAAAAACTCCAGGAAGCAGAGACCCACCTGTCTGTCTGTCTGTCTATCGCCTGTCTATTGCTCCCTGCTCCCATGGTGCCCTGTGCCTATCTCTATGGCAGGAGGGGCCACAAAGTTCAGTGGCTCCTGTGTCTGCCTCACCTTTCGCCCGTGGATGAACTCCCGCGGGGCAGAGCCAGGACCTGCACTTCACATCCTGAGTGACAAGTAGGTTTCAGATGCTCAGTGTGACAATGTTTATGAATGAACAAGGCAGAGTTGAAGGCTGCATTCCAAGCTGTCACATGCTCACATAAATCTAACCCAACGCGCAAGTTATGGAATTTTCACAGGCAGAGGCTCAGCCTACTATGCCACAGCGCCGGCCCCTCCTTTGGGTCCAATAGGATGGGTTGTTCTTCTGGCCTCCTTAGGGTGGAATAAGGGCAAAGGAAGAAAGGTGCCCAAGCACTCTGAGCACTCTGAGCACTCTGGCTACATCACTGTGGGGCCTGGTGCCAAATGTAAACACGAGCCCCTTGTTCAGAATTACTAACTGCAAGACTACACCAGTGGAGCACTAAACCACACAGGGAGTCTGTGCGACAGTTCGCATGCCCAGGAGCCGGCCATGGCCTGGAGCTCTGCAGAGGACGAGCCCACTCAGGATGCTCGTGGCCCACCTCCTGTTGAGCCTTTCCGCAGGAAGTTCTGGATGATCTGGGTCTTTGTGTTGTAGCTCGGGTTATCGGCCACCATGGCACACAACTTGCGAAACTCCCGCAGCAGACAATCCTTGTGTTTGGGGTCACATTTGCTTGAGGACAAACTTGTTGTAGGGGCAGGGCTTGAGGGTGGGTTCTGCCCAGAGTTGTTGGGCTTAGCTGTGGAGAAAGAAACAACAGACATCATTCTCTCTGCCATCCTGAGAAGGGAGGACACGAAGAGGCGGTCTGCTCGTGCTTTCCATGCAGCTTTCCTGGATCGCCTAAGTGCCTGTGCGGTGCACACCATTACACTCACCTTACAGGTGGAGACATGGAGCTCAAGTAATTGCTCCAAACCTCAAAGTTTGTTTTTTATTTTATTTTTTTAAATACCTATTTATTTGAAAGGCAGAGTTACAGATAAAGAGAGGGAGACATCCACACACACTCACACAGGGAGGGAGGAAAGGAGAAAAAAGAGAGATTTTCCATCCACTGGTTCATTTCCTGGATGGCCGTAACAGCCATGACTGGGCCAGGTCAGAGCCAGGAGCTTCACTGGGGTCTCCTAAGTGGGTGGCAGGGGCCCCAGCACTGGGCCATCTGCACTGCTTTCCCAGGTGCATTAGCAGGGAGCTGGATTGGAACTGGTACTCACTCACATGGGATGCTGGTGTTACTGGCAGCAGCCTAATCCACTGCACCACAATGCTTGCCCCGATTTTTTGTTTTTTCTTTTTTTTTTAAATCTTAATTTATTTATTTGAGGGGGGAAGAGAGTGAGCAAGCATCCACTGGTTTATTCTTCAAATGCCTGCATTGACTCTGGGCTAGGCTGGGAGCCAAAGCAAGCAACTAGGAACTCAGCTGAGGTCTTCCATGTGGGCAGCAGGAATCCAATCACTTAAGTCACCACAGCTGGTTCCCAGGGTCTCCATCAGCAGGACCCAGAGCTGGTTATCATGTCCAGGCACTCCCACCCTGCTGTCTTGGCTAGACCAAACACCTGTCTCTCATAATTATGCACGGTAAAGAACAATGGGCCCCTCACACTGAAGCCGAGGACCAGACTGACATGGATCTATAGGTGAGCCCTTCCCAGAAGAACAGAGGCCATCTCCGTGTCAGGAATGCTCAGGGAGATCTCAGATAAGCTGGGGTGAGAAAGGGGAAGAAATCAAAGGACGTGTTAACCGATGTGAAATTATTGCCACTAGCCAGAGCGCGAAGAAACCTTAATGATCTACTGCAGTGTTCTCTCACAGATGAGGAACTGAGGCCATGAAACAGAGGACTTCCTGGATCACGCACTTCCCCGACAAGGGCAGCACCATGAAAGCCAGGGCTCACCCCAACTGCCCGCCTCTCAACACGCCAGCACAGTCAGCAATCACCTACAAATAATTATGTAAAACTCTTTAGTGATTCTCTCTCACAACCATTTACAAAGCAAATTTTATTCTGCAAACTGGTAGCAGAGCCATTAGCAAGCTGGCTGCTGTTGCTAGCTTCTGGTCTGGGCTTTATAAATTATAAATATGTCCTCATCTCTGACCTGGAATCTAAATAGGATTTTAGGGGACAATCTCCAAAGCATCAATGTTCAGTCTGGCTGCAAGAACCAGAACACCCTGTTTCTTTCAGCTCCTCATCAATTCCACTTCCAAGACCAGCGCCCTTCCAGAAACATGCTGTCCTTATCCTCATCTGGGCTCCTGTATTTCTCTCTTGAGCCTTTCAATAGACCAAGGACCAATCAACCTCAGAGTTTTTAAATAAAAATCTGGAGTCATGCCCCATTTCTGCAATGTTGTCTCTGACAGTAGGCAAAGCTACTACTGCCCCTTCTGATTCACAGAGGAGGCCACAGAAGTTCAGAGAGGTGGAGACTTGCTCAGGGCTCTAAACCCAAGCCTTCTGACCTCAGGGGTAGGCTTCTTTCAATCACATAAAGCCTCCCTCTCTCTCTCTCTTTTTTTTTTTTTTTTTGACAGGCAGAGTGGACAGTGAGAGAGAGAGACAGAGAGAAAGGTCTTCCTTTGCCGTTGGTTCACCCTCCAATGGCCGCCGCGGCCGGCGCACCGCGCTGATCCGATGGCAGGAGCCAGGAGCCAGGTGCTTTTCCTGGTCTCCCATGGGGTGCAGGGCCCAAGCACCTGGGCCATCCTCCACTGCACTCCCTGGCCACAGCAGAGGGCTGGCCTGGAAGAGGGGCAACCGGGACAGAATCCGGCGCCCCTACCGGGACTAGAACCCGGTGTGCCGGCGCCGCTAGGCGGAGGATTAGCCTAGTGAGCCACGGCGCCAGCCCTTTCTTTTTTTTAAAGACATTTATTTAGGGCTGGTGCTGTGGTGTAGCGGGTAAAGCCGCCGCCTGCAGTGCCAGCATCCCATATGGGCACCAGTTAAGAGTCCCAGCTGCTCCACTTCTGATTCAGCTCTCTGCTATAGCCTGGGAGGGCAGTAGAAGATGGCCCAAGTCCTTGGGCCCCTGAACCCATGTGGGAGACCTGGAAGAAGCTCCTGACTCTGGCTTCAGATTGGCGAAGCTCCGGCCGTGAGGCCATGTGGGGAGTGAACCAGCGAATGGAAGACTTCTCCCTCTTTCTCTGCCTCTGCCTAATAAATAAATCTTAAAGGATCGGGCCGGTGTTGTGGCATAGCAGGTAAAGTCACTGCCTGCAGTGCCTGTAAACCATATGGGCGCCAGTTTGAGTCTCGGCTGCTCTACTTCGGATCTGGCTCTCTGCTATGGCCTGCGAAAGCAGCTGAAGATGGCCCAAGTCCTTGGTCCCCTGCACCTGTGTGGGAGACCCAGAAGAAGCTCCTGGCTCTGGCTTCAGATCAACCCAGCTCCAGCTGTTGCGGCCAATTGGGGAGTGACCCAGAGGATGGAAGACTTCTCTCTCTCTTTGCCTCTCTTTCTCTGTGTAACTCTTTCAAGTAAATAAATAAATTTTTTTAAAAAATCTATACCTTAATATTTCTTAAAGAAAAAAAAGATAATTTTTCATCCACTGGTTTATTCCTCAAATGGCAGCAATGGCCTGGCCCAGTCCTGGACTTCTATCTGGGTCTTCCGTGTGTGGCAGGGGTCTAAGCACTTGGATCATCTTCCACTGTTTTCCCTGGTGCACACCAGGGAGCTGGATTGAAAGCCAAGCAGCCAGAACTTGAATTGGTGCTTATATGGAATGCCAGTGTTGCAGGTGGAGGCTTAACCCACTGTGCCACAACATCAGGCCTAAAGCCTCTTTCTTTCTTTCTTTTTTTTTCAAAGCCTCTTTCAATCCCCAAACAGCTTGAGTCCAAGCAGTTTGGCCTTATATTTACTTCGATGGAGTCAAATCACAAGAACATTTCAAACAATAAGAGAAGCAAGGTATAGGGTAAAAGAAGTTAGTGAAGTCAAATAGACTTCAGTGCAAAGATTAACTCCACAATGAACCTGAACTTCAGCTTTCACATTCATAAAATAGGCCTGATACAAGTACTTCCTAGATTAACTGAAGAACAAATGAAATTCCCTAGCCGAATACTCCCTGTTACATAAGATTAACAAATGATCCTAATCTTTTTTGTTTGTTTTTTAAAGATTGACTTGGGGCCAGCGTTGTGGCATAGATGGTAAAGCCACCACTGTGATGCCAGCATCCTATTATCGGTGCTGGTTTAATTCCCGGCTGCTCCACTTCCGATCCAGCTCTGGGCTAATGTCCTGGGAAAAGCAGCGGAAGATGGTCCAAGAGCGTGGGCCCCTACACCCACTTGGGAGACCTGGAAGAAGCTCCTGGCTTCAGCCCAGCCAGCCCTGGCCAGTGTGGCCATCTGGAAGTGGATGGAAGATCTAACTCTTTCAAATAAACAAATAAATCTTTAAAAAGAAAAAAAAAGATTTACTTATTTATTTGAAAGACAGAGAGACAGAGAGATCTTCCATCTGCTGGTTCACTCCTCAAATGGCAATAGCCAGGGCTAGGCCAGGCCAAAGTCTGAAGCCAGGAACTCTACTCAGATCTCCTACAGAGGCGGCAGGGGCTCAAGTACTTGGGCCACCATCTGCTGCCTTCCCAGGAGCATTAGCAAGAAGCTGGTTTGGAAGCAGAGCAGCTGGGACTTGAACCGGCATTGGTTTATGGGATCTCAGCATCAGAAGTGGATGCTTAAACCCTGTGCCACAACACGAGCCCTGATCCTGATCTTTTCAACTCCCATTTATAGCCTATGCTCCAGCAAAATTTTCTTAAATTCCTGTCTGTGAAACAGAAACTCCATATTTTATATAAAAGAAATCGTATGTTCATGGGTATGAGTATAAATTCACTTGTGTGAAGAGAAAGAAAATGTAAGACATTACTGTTATCCAATCGTCAAGAAGACACAAAATGGATGGGCATTGGGCTCAGCCGTTAAGACATCCTGTAGGATACCTGCACCCCTGACACCGGAGTGCCTGGGTTTGGTCTTGGCTCCACTTCCAATTCCGACTTCCTTCTAATGTGTACTTTGGGAGGCAGCAGGGGATGACTCAAGTACTTGGGTCCCTGCCACCTACATAGGAGACTCAGGTTGAGTTCCTGGCTCCTGGCTTTAGCTTGGCTCAGCCTTGGCTGTTACAGGCCTTTGGGAAGTGAACTAGGGGATGCATGATCTTTCTCTGTCTCTACTTCTCTGTCATTCTGCCGTTTATTTACTTATTTTTAATATTACACTCTTTAAGATTCATTTATTTGAAAGGCGGGGTTGGGGGGGGGACAAAGAGTGCTTCCATCTATTGGTTCACTCTCCAGATGGCTGCAATGGCTGGAGATGAGCTGGACTGAAGCCAGGAGCTTCTTCTGGGTCTCTCATGCGGGTGGCAGGGCCCCAAAAACTTGGGCCATCTTCCACTGCTTTCCCAGGCACATTAGCAGGGAGCTGGATTGAGAAGTGGAGCAGGGGGGAGTCAAATTGGCACCCCTATGGGGTGCCAGCACTACAGGTGGCGGCTTTATCCACTATGCCACAATGCCAGCCCCTCTGCCATTTATTTATAAATAAATAAGTCCTTTTAAAACAAAATCTTAGTCTGGCCTAGGAAATGACTTCCATGGCAAAAAGTCCTTTTATTTAAAAAAAATTTTTAAATTGCATTTATTCTCATTTATTTGAAAGGCAGAGACAGAGAGATCTTACATCTGCTGGTTCACTCCCCAAATACTCATAACAGCTAGGGCTGGGTCAGGCAGGAGCAAGGAGCCTAGAACCAAATCCAGGTCTCCCATGAGAGAAGGCGGGACTAAAGTACTTGAACCATCACCTGCTGCCTCCAAGGGTGCTTATGAGCAAGAAGTTGAAATCAAAGTGGAGCCAGGATTCAAACTCAGGTGCTCCAATATAGGATGTGGAGGTTCCAAGCAATGTTTTAACCACTGACCTACCCCTAAGGCAAAAAGTCTAATACAGCAAACATCCTTCTGCTATGAGAGAGATTAAGGTGTACAAAGAAATGCTGTACAAGTGTGATGCTGATAATTAGCCACCACCTGTCTATACTCAGACAAAAGCCAATTATTGGGACTAGAAAGCACAGAATTTTCAGTCAGCAAGATCCCCAAGTAAAAGAGCTGTAACAGCTCTAGTATCCCTAACCTATCTTACCTGAAAAGCCAGAAAATTTCCGTGGATTGGGGTTGGTGACTAACGAGGCTCCTTTCACTGGGGATGTCACCTGGCCAGTGGATGTCAACTTTGCCTGGACGACAGCTTTCTTCTTTGGTGTGCTTGCTGCCTTGGAAGACAGATCTGCAGAAACCCAAAAGAAGGCAAAATATCCTTTAGTGAGAGCTCTCTGAGGCCGCTTCCACACAACCTTCAGCCGCGCTTAGAGCCTTGCTGGGCAAGCACTGCTACAGCCCACCCAGCCTGGCTGGGCTCTCTCAGTGAAGGTACGAGGGCACTGTGTGCAGGGCAGGGACCCATGTTACCATATACCTGCATTAAGAACAGACTGTCATTTGAGGAGTGAGCCAGTGGATGGAAGAGCTCTGTCTCTCCCTAACTTTGACTTTCAAATAAATAAACCTTAGATGTGACAAGATTTGGGGAAAATCAGAAATTACAACTTTTTTTTTTAAAGATTTATTTATTTATTTGAAAGGCAGATTTAGCGAGGGGCGGGGGGGAGAGAGAGAGAGAGAGAGAGAGAGATTGATTGATTCCAAATGCCTGCAATAGCCAGGCTGGGCAGGTGGAAGCCAGGAGTTTGGAACTCCATCCAGGCCTCCTTCGTGGGCGGCAGGGACCCAAATACTTGGGTCATCCTCCACTGCTTTCTGAAGCACATTAGCAGAGAGCTGGATCGGCCCTGGATCGGAAGTGGAGGCCCTGGATAGGAAGTGGAGCAGCCAGGACCTGAACTGCGGGATGCGGATGTTGTAGGCAGTGGCTTAACCCTGTCATGACCAAGGCTTTGAAGAGGAAATGCCTGGGGAAGTTTCAACAAAGTCCTCCAACACGACCAAGCTCCCACTCATCAAACGAGGGCAAATCTGAGCATGTTTTAATGGGAATCATTAGGCATCCATCCTGCATTGGCTCCTTCTTTCTGTTCCCTTAAAGGGAACTCTTTTTCTTAGCTAATAATGTAAAAAAGATGGCACTGATCTGGTTAAACTCCCAGGACCCCTGAGTTTTTCAGAGATGGACTCAGTGGTTGCTATCACTACTTATAAGTTTCTTGAACTTGGTGAGCTTAAAATTTGAACAATAAAATTTACACAGAAGAGGCAGGTGTTGTGTTACAGATAGGTTAAGCTGTGTCTTGGGATGCCTACATTCCATACTGGAGTGTTGGCTTAAGTCCCGGCTACACTGCTTCTGATCTAGCTCCCTGCTAATGCATACTTGAGTTCCTGCTACACATGTAGGAGACCTGGCTCCTAGTTTGGGCCTGGCCCAGCCCTGACTGCTGTAACCATTTGGGGAGTGAAACAGCAGATGAAAAATCTGTCACTCCTCTTTTCAAATAAATTTAAAAAAAAATTTTAAGTTTAGATTTCTTTACACTGCCATGAACTTTTGAAGCCTTTTCATAGACACTATTTAAAACTATTTACCTGAAAAAGGACTTGTATCCAGAATGTATTTTTAAAAATCTTTGAAATAGTAAGACACAAAATCTTGGCAGAGAGACAGTTACACATCAGAGAGAGGTATCTCCTCTCCCCTGGTTCACTCCCCAAATGCCTATAAAAGTCAGGCTGGGCCAGGGAAGGCGAGGCCAAAGCCAACAACTCTGACCAGGTCTCCCTAGTATCTGGGCCATCTCACGCTGCCTCCCAGATTGCACATTAGTGGGAAGCTGGATTAGGAGCTGTGACAGAATTTGATCCCAGGCACTCTGATACGGGAGTCATCCCAAGTGGTGCTTCTTTGTCCCTGTTTTTCAAATAAAAACAAAAATTTATAAAAACATACAATAAACATCAGTATAATGTTGAAGATTTTAAAAAAATACTGACAATACCTACTCAGAACACAGAGGGAGCAGTCATCACTCTCATGTGCTGGTGGGAGTGCAGATTGGTAAAAAGACCTTGAAAAACAGTTTCAAAGACTCAACCAAAACCCGTCCAGCAATTCCACTCCTGGGTATGGATTCAGCAGAAAGACCCAATGATATGCACCAAAACCAAGGCCCAGTGTGTTCACAGCAGCACTGTTTGTAGCTGGACATAAACCAAGTATTCATCAACAGAAGAATAAGCTGTGAACTTAGCCACTACAATGAGTAAAGCACAACAAAAAACAACCTAATCTTGAAAAGAAGCCAGAGAAAGCAGAGTTTAAGTTTAGAATGAGCAGCATTATGTTAACAGTGTTAGGAATAATGGTCACGGCTAGCGCCGCGGCTCACTAGGCTAATCCTCCGCCTTGCGGCGCCGGCACACCGGGTTCTAGTCCCGGTCGGGGCGCCGGATTCTGTCCCGGTTGCCCCTCTTCCAGGCCAGCTCTCTGCTATGGTCTGGGAGTGCAGGGGAGGATGGCCCAAGTGCTTGGGCCCTGCCCCCCATGGGAGACCAGGAGAAGCACCTGGCTCCTGCCTTTGTATCAGCGCAGTACGGCAGCCGCGGCGGCCTTTGGAGGGTGAACCAAAGGAAAAAGGAAGACCTTTCTCTCTGTCTCTCTCTCTCTCTCACTGTCCACTCTGCCTGTCAAAAAAAAAAAAAAAAGAAAAAAAAAAAAGATTTGGAACACAGAGCAACAGACAGGGAGAGACAGAGATAAAGACTGATCTTCTTTGTGCTGGTTCACTCCTCAAATGGTCACAAGAGTCAGGGATGGGTCAGGCTGAAGCCAGGTACACTGGCAGGCAGCTGGACCAGAATTGGAGCAGCCAGGACTCAAACTGGCACTCCAACATGAGATGCCAGCATCAGAAGCAGGAGTGTAACTGCCACACCACCACCCAGCCCGGACTTGTGTATCCCTGTTACACTTCCAGAGAAGTTTACAGGATTGGTGAATGAATGAGTGCACACTTTGCACTTTGAAAGATTCCGGCAGGCTGCGGTTCATGGAGGGTATAAATGCCCTACAGGGGACGACAGCACTCTCTGCTCCACAGCTGCCTGGCAGCCACGGTCATCAGTTGTTTTAAAGAGACCTAACTGGTGTGGGGCAAATGATGTCAGCATGTGGGTTGGTTTCATGTGGGGCCTGGGAATACTAGGGCCACGCCTGTCTGCAGCTGACGGTTCAAGTCATTCTGGCTGAGGGAGGTCTTGCAGGATGACACTCAAGTTTACAAGGACAGGCCCACCCAGTACCACCCCTTCTCACCACTTACCCATCATTAACCACATGTGACAATATTTCCCCAGGGAACTAATGATCACTTAATGGATATCAGCACTTCTGGTACTCGGAAAGGCCACAGCACATCCCAGGGGGCCATGCCCCTGGGCTCCTCACATGTGACAGATGTGCTGATGACCATCTCTGGACAGTTAGAGTCTCCCATTTTCCCAGAAACCAGTTTGACATGACTAGCCCTAATTTACAGACAAAAACCAAGGAAAAGTAAAGCCCGATCCCACAGCACGCTGGCTTGGTATGGGTAGGAAAATGTCCAGCTGCTAACTTACCTGATTTATGGAAGAGTTTAATTCTATCTGTACTTTTCTTCTGAATGAGACGTGGGTCAAGAGATAACAAAGGCAGAGGCCAATGGCTAAGGCTAAGGGTGGGGCTGGATGGGGAGCTTGAGCGCGAAGCATACAGGAAAGAAAGTCCTCTCTCCTGAAAATCCTTTTCCTTCTCAAAGGACAAGGATAATGTTCCTTTTGAGAACCACATTAGTCTCCCTTCAGTGACCAGACTATACCGAATTGAAGGCATTAATATTACTTTACCCACACTGAAGATCAAAGAGGATTAGTTGGCATTATTGGTATAAGTATTCTAAAACATGCATACACCTGTGAGAACATGTTTATACACAGGAAGATGTATTTTATGTCAAAATCAGTATTATAAACCTTTTCAGTTGCTTATATCTTTTAAGAATATACAAATATCACTATTAATATTTTGAGTTACTTTATATAAATTACACTTGCAAGAATTTAGAATATATGACAATTATAGAAAATAAGAAAAAATCAAATATAGAAAATTAATATTATCCATAATTCTACTATCCGTATCACATTGATAATTTTGTCTATATTCTTCTAAAATGTACCTGTATCAACAGTTAAAACATATGCAATGTGTACTTTTTTAAAAAATTAGATATTTATTAATGACATAAGACGTACTATCTTAATCCTGCTACTCACACACATCTGCATCTGCATTTCTGTTGTACGTGCTGAAGTACATGTATGCGCATGTGTCTACATTAGCTAGCTTTTCCTGCTGGAAGCGTTTAGAAGCAAAGGCACCTCATGCCAGCGAGGCTATGCAGCATCCAGATTTGGGTCTCTAAAAGCATTCCTCACTCACTGGAACTTGGGGATTTGTCAAAAGTGGATGATTCTAGGGTTGAGGTAGGACACATACAAGGTAAGCTTTGTTATACCTGAGAGAAAGGAAGTACTTTAAAACATCTGTTTGGGGGCCGGCGCTGTGGTGCAGCAGGTAAAGTCGCTGTCTGCAGCGCTAGCATCCCATATGGGGACCAGTTTGAGTCCCAGCTGCTCCACTTCTGAACCAGCTCCCTGCTAATACACCTGGGAAAGCAGCGCAAGATGGGCCCCTGCACCCACGTGGGAGACTTCCAGAGGAAGCTCCCGGCTCCTGGCTTCAGATTGACCCAGCTCCAGCCGTTGCAGCCATTTGGAGAGTGAACCAGCAGATGGAAGCTCACTCTCTCTCTCTCTCCCTAACTCTGCCTCTCAAATAATCAAAGTGAATCTTTAAAAAAATTTTTTTGTTTGTTTTTAAATAATGAGGGTGTATAGGACACAGAAGCCAGCTTGAAGGGGTCCCTAACTGGCCAAATATGGAACAATTAAGTACCAAATTAATCAAGTCTAGTAATGACTTATAAGTCACTTGGAAAAAGTAGTAATCTATGAATCCACACAGATAATAAACTTACGGATAAAGCGGGTAGAAGTGGGACTGGTGTTGGGGTGTAATAGATAAAGCTGGGGCGACAACGCTGGCATCCTATATAGCACCGCTTCAAGTCCCAAGCCCCGGCTGCTCTACTTCCAATCTGGCTCCCAGGAAATAGGAAAAGCAGCAAAGGACAGTGCGAGTGATGGTCCCCTGCCAACCATGTGGGAAACTCGGATAATGCTCCTGGCTCCTGCCAGGCTCAGCCATGGCCATTGTGGCCACTTTGGGAATGAATCAATGAATGGAAGATCTCTCTTTCCTCTCTTTCTGTAACTCTTTCAAATAAATAAATAAATAAACCTTAGAAAAATAAATAAATAAAAAGGGGCCGTAGTGGATATTCTTCAAAAATGTCAATGCTGAGGGTTCACGTTGTGGTGCAGTGGATTAAGCCACCACCTATGATGCCAGCTTTCCACATAAACCTGGGTTGGAGTCCCAGCTGCTCCACTTCTGATCCAACACCTGCTGATGTGCCTGGGGAAGTAGTGCATGATGGTCCAAGTACTTGGACTCCTGCCACCAACGTGGGAGACCCAGATGGAGTTCTAGCCTTTGGCCTGGCCTAGACCTGGCCATTATGGCCATCTGGGGAGTGAACCAGCATTTGGAAGACCTCTTCCTCCTACCCCACCACTCTTTCTCTCTCCCTCTCTTTCTCTGTAACTCTGCCTTTCAAGTAAATAAATAAATATATTTTTTAAAGTTAATGCTACAAAAGAAATACTATGGAAATGTTCTAGATTAAATGTAATACCTGCTTTGATCCTAGATTAGAGGAAATATAAAAGCTATTAAAAATATGATTCACTCAATTGATAAAATAGTATGGAATGTATTAAAGCATTTTATCAAGGATAACTTTATTGAAATTGATAGCTATGTTATGGTCATGTGAGATATTCTTGAAGTAGGTGCACTGAAGAGCTTAAAGGTAAATGTCATGGTGTATGCAGCTTGTACTCAAATGATTCAGAGAAAAATGTGCAGGTACGCATGTGTGTAAGGAGCGTATATGCACACAAGGGTCAGAGTAAAATGTTAGTAAGGAAATATGGTTAAAAGGAACAGAACTAGTCTTTGTAATTCTTTCTTACAATTTTATTACTTATAACTATTCTTATGACCCTTCTGAGAGTTTCAATTTATTTCCAAATAAACAGTTAAATAAAGAAAAAGTCTCGATTCTGAGGCTGGCATTGTGGAATAATGGGTTAAGCTGCCGCCTGCATCCCATATGGGTGCCAATTAGAATCCCAGCTGCTCCACTTCCAATTAGCTCCCTGCTAACATGCCTGGAAAGCAGAGTAAGATAGCCCAAATGCTTGGGCCCCTGCCATTCACATGGGAATCTTTTTTTTTAAAAAAAGATTCATTTATTTATTTGTAAGGCAGTGTTACAGAGAGGCAGAGGCAGAGAGAGGTCTTATATTCGCTGGTTTACTCCCCAAATGGCCACAATGGCCAAAGCTGGGCCGATCCAAAGCCAGGAGCCAGGATCCTCTTGCAGGTTTCCCACATGGGTACAAGGGCCCAAGGACTTGGGCTATCCTCCACTGCTTTCCCAGGCCATAGCAGAGAGCTGGTTTGGAAATAGAGCAGCCAGGACTCAAACCTGTGCCAATATGGATGCTGGCACCACAGGCGGTGGCTTTACCTGCTATGCCACAGCACTGGTCCCAGATAAATCTTTAAAAAGAAAAGAAAAAGGTGGGGGGCAGAGAAAGAGGGAGCAAGAGAGATTGTCCACCCACTGGTCCTCTCCCCAAATGGCCAAACAGCCAGGGCAGGGCCAGGCTGAAGTCAGGCGCTTCATCCAGGTCTCTCTACATGGGTGCAGGGTCCTAAGGACTTGGGCCATCTTCTACTGCTTTCCCAGGCACATTAGCAGGGAGCTGAATTGGAAGCAGAGGAGCCAGGACTTAAGCCAGCACTTACAGAGGATGCCAGCCCTGCAGGCCACGGCTTCACCTGCTATGCTATGCCATAGCGCCGGCCCCAAATGAATCAATCTTAAAAAAAAAAAAAAAAAAAAAGCCTGGACTCTAGGCTTCTCACCCCTTTTCCTCTTTGCCCCAGTAAGCCCAGAAAGCAGTGTTCTCCATCCCACCTGTAATGTGCTGGGTTATCTGCTCCTTCTCATTATCTTCCAGCTCTTCCCAGCCTTCCAGCTCTGTGAGGTCCTCGATTTTTTTCGTGGTGGCCCGGGCCCGCTCCAGCTTCTCAAACATGCATTTAATGTGGTACCACTCTTTCATATCACCTCCGGACTCTGAAAAGGGATTGGGCACCACTTTGCCAATTCGGCAAACGCCCTTTACAATCTTTTCCTTGCATTTTTTGCAGCCAGCTGTGCCACGCTTGGCGTAGTCCACGCAGAACCGTTGCTCAGCCATCTCACAGGGGCCACTGCAGAGTCCCACATGCGACCCTGGCAGGAAAACAAGGCAGGTGGCACGTGCTCTTAGACGACCTTCGCCAAATGACGGAACAGGCTTTCTTCTCGGGAGGAGGCAGCGCCCACGGAGCACATCTGTTTCCGACCACCAGCTAAACAGTTTGAGGTCAGGCCAGCGATGCTGTTCTCGGAACAGGCACAGTTCTTTTCGGCCAAGGGCTCGGAGACTTTCTGGGAAGAGGATCTTGAAAGCCACAGTCATGCAGCTGCATGAAAAGGTGAGACACACACACACACGGATATAAATGGGCACCAATGGGGGATGAGGCTTCCAACGTGTCAAAGGCCAGAGTCTTACACAGGCCATGCTGACTAACCACTTTCCCAAGTATTAAAGATTCACCACCTACAGAATAAAGAGTTCTAATTCAGGACAATCCAGTTTCCTAAAGGGTGTTCAATGACCTAACGTACATACGCACATCTAGTAAACCACGAGGAGGAGAATCCAAGCACCATAAAAGCTTTTCTCAAGCCATCAGCAAAATGCGACAATCCTAATGGATGATGACCTTTAAGTATTGTAAGATCCTCAAGGTGTTCTAATTACCAAGGAAAACACACTATGTTCATAGGATTTTTAATGCCACGTATAACAGACGTGCCATCCTCAGAAAACAACAAAGCCACTACAGAGACCCTTGCTTTAATCAGAAGCTCTATTTTGAGAGGCAGGAAGCTGAGCCGAGAAGCGGCCTGCCTGGGTCCAGATTCTAGCTCAGCCACTCATTAGCTGTGTGCCCTCGGTGGGTTACTCAAACTTTCAGTTCCTCAGTTTTCATATCTGTAAACCGCGGCCAGTAACTGTCCTAACTGAAGGAGCTCCCGTGCTGAGAGCCCTCGGATCCGCGCTGGGCGCGATGTCCGCTCTTCTCAGAACCAGGGCAGCGGCTGCCCGGCACGGCAGGGGCCCCCTACCCGCCACCTCCGCCGGGGAAGCCTGAAGGGACTGCGTAGCAGGAATCACGGGGACCGACAGATCAGCCCGAATGCGGACGGCCGCTGCACCTGCACCTTCCAGCGGTCGGATTCCCCGCAGCGCCGCGGCAGGGCTACGCCACGACACCGGAAGCGGTCTCCCGGGAGCGCGGCGCTGGGCTTTCTCCGCCGGCTACTCCGCACCTCCTGAGGGGAGCGCCCGCTGTCGCCTCAGCAGTCTCTTACCTCCCCTGACTCTGGGCTTTATTACTTCTCAAACAGGGAAGGGAACTCCTAGCTTCCGGGGAGGCTGGGAGAGTCACAAAGACCGGCTGCTGCAGGCGCCGGTTCCGAAACCCCTGCCCATCTGCGCAAACTCTGAGTTGTGCTGGAGTCGAGGTCCCTCCGTTTCATGACTACCTAGATGCCCGCGAGCACCCCAAAGTTTAAGCAGCGCAGAGGGTGAAGTTGCGCAGACCCGCGAGAGGAGCGCAGCAGCAGCTGGGTCTCCACCATGTCGGCGCACAGAGCCACCTGCAGCCCCCGAATCACGGCTCGGGCGAGGCGCGCTCCGGCGGCGCCAGGCCACGAGGAGGCACAATGCAGCCAAGAGAGACTACAGCCCCGCTCCCGCTCCCAACGGCCGGCCGCAACCGACGAGCCGCCGCGGCGCTTTGGGGAAGTGGGCAGGGGCTGCGAGGAGCCAGGCCCCGCGGGCAGGGAGCAGGGCCCCGCGGGGTGGCGGCGGAGAGCGCTCCTCCCGAGGGCCGGGAGCGGCAGAGGCGGCCGAACTCCCGCGCCCACGTCAGCGCCGGGAGCTTGCACAAGCGGCCCAGGTCTCAGGAGGTCCCAGGGCTGAAGGGCAGGCGTGGAAGGAGGGGCCCTCGCCTCTAGCCCGTAGTGGGGGGGGGGGTCCCGGGGGCCGCGAGCCTCCCGTGGGCTCCCGGGGGGCCGCCACGTCACGGAGGGTGTGCCCCCGGGCTCCGCCGGCGGGCGGGGGAGGAGCCGGGGGCTGGCTCCCGGGCCGCGCCGAGCTCGGGCCCCGGCCCGTTTTCCACACCGCGCTGCGCCGATCCTCACCTGCCTCCCCGGCTCCGGCGCTCACCGCAGGCCTCGGGACTGGGAGCGTACAGGCCGCGAGCAGCTCACGACGGTTGGAGTGCCTGTCTCTTTAAATCCGGGTCCTCAAGCTGGAGGCAGCGCGCAGGCGCAAAAGCCCGGGCCAGAGAGCGACGCAACCGGGCCCCGCCCCCGCGTGCCACGTGCGTGGTGGCCGGGTTCCGCCGGCTGTGGTATGGGGGCTGGTGAGGAGCCCCACCGGGTTACACCGCTGGGGTCCCCGATTCCCCCCTGGAGCCAGGGCTCCTGTGGGCCTTAAAGATGCTGGTTGGGGAGTGAGCACGTGGGAGAGCTGCGGGCCGGCAGAGACCGCGTCCCGTAGGCCGTTTTTCCGTGGGTCCTGGCTCGGGTGCCGCGCAGTGCCTAGCGCTGCGTCTGGCTTGGGTTAGTCGAGGTGGAGAGGAAGGTGTGCTCTAAAGAACTTTTTAGATTTTAAACGTTCTTCTGAAACTGCTCATTTTTGTGTTTGAAATAAGGTTGACCTGAGTGAGCAGAGAATGCAGAAATAGGAAGTAAGAGGAGGAGGAGGTATTGGAGTAAAAGGGTGAGTTTTGTTTAGGATAGATTTTGATTGGTTGGTGGAGGCCAACTGTGATTCCATTGTTGGAAGTGGGGTAAAACCTCTTTTTTAACGAAAAAAAATTTTTTTGAATTTCGTTCTTATTTGAAAGGCAGACACACACACACACACAGAGGGAGAGAGATCAGAATCTTCATCTACTTTCTTTCTTTTTTTTTTTTTTTTATCTTTTATTTAATGAATATAAATTTCCAAAGTACGTCTCATGGGTTACAATGGCTTTCCCCCCCATACCGTCCCTCCCACCCACCACCCTCCCCTTTCCCACTCCCTCTCCCCTTCCATTCACATCAAGATTCATTTTCGATTATCTTAGTATACAGAAGATCAGCTTAGTATACCTTAAGTAAGGATTTCAACAGTTTGTTCCCACACAGAAACATAAAGTGAAAAATAATAGATGATTTTTTTTAAATGATGATGAAATCAGATCAGACCTATTGTCATGTTTAATCCCAGTGAGAGTCAAGTTGGGAATTGATAGTTTCTTTTCTTTCTTTTTTTTTTTTTTTTTAACAGAAGATCAGTTTAGTGTACATTAAGTAAAGATTTCAACAGTTTGCACCCCCATAGAAACACAAAGTGAAATATACTGTTTGAGTACTCGTTATAGAGAACAGACAAAAAAAAAAAATACTATGAGGGATAATGTATTAAGTTGTCCATTAGCAGTCAGGGCTATGCTGATCAAGTCACCATTTCTCTTAGTGTCCATTTCACTTCAGGAGGTTTCCTTTTTGGTGTTCAGTCAGTTGTCACCGATCAGGGAGAACATATGGTATTTGTCCCTTTGGGACTGGCTTACTTCACTCAGCATGATGTGTTCCAGATTCCTCCATTTTGTTGCAAATGACTGGAGTTCGTTGTTTCTTACTGCGGTATAGTATTCTAAAGAATACATATCCCATAATTTCTTTATCCAGTCTACCATTGATGGGCATTTAGGTTGGTTCCAGGTCTTGGCTATTGTGAATTGTGCTGCAATAAACATTAGGGTGCAGACCGCTTTTTTCTTTATCAATTTAAACTCCTTTGGGTAAATTCCAAGGAGTGGGATGGCTGGGTCGAACGGTAGGGTTATCTTCAGGTTTCTGAGGAATCTCCAGACTGATTTCCATAGTGGCTTAACCAGTTTGCATTCCCACCAACAGTGGGTTAGTGTCCCTTTTTCCCCACATCCTCGCCAGCATCTGTTGTTGGTAGATTTCTGTATGTGAGCCATTCTAACCGGGGTGAGGTGAAACCTCATTGTGCTTTTGATTTGCATTTCCCTGATTGCTAGTGACCTTGAACATTTTTTCATGTGCCTGTTGGCCATTTGGATTTCCTCTTTTGAAAAATGTCTATTGAAGTCCTTGGCCCATCTCTTAAGTGGGTTGTTGGTTTTGTTTTTGTGGAGTTTCTTGATCTCTTTGTAGATTCTGGTTATTAACCCTTTATCTGTTGCATAGTTTGCAAATATTTTTTCCCATTCTGTCGGTTGTCTCTTCACTCTCCTGACTGTTTCTTTTGCAGTAAAGAAACTTCTCAATTTGATGCAATCCCAATAGTTGATTTTGGCTTTGACTGTCTGTGCCTCCTGGGTCTTTTCCAGAAATTCTTTGCCTGTGCCAATATCTTGAAGGGTTTCTCCAATGTTCTCTAATAACTTAATGGTGTCAGGACGTAGATTTAGGTCTTTAATCCACGTTGAGTGGATTTTTGTGTAAGGTGTAAGGTAGGGGTCTTGCTTCATGCTTCTGCACGTGGAAATCCAGTTTTCCCAGCACCATTTATTGAATAGACTGTCCTTGCTCCAGGAATTAGTTTTAGATCCTTGATCAAATATAAGTTGGCTGTAGATGTTTGGGTTGATTTCTGGTGTTTCAATTCTGTTCCATTGGTCTATCCATCTGTTTCTGTACCAGTACCATGCTGTTTTGATTACAACTGCCCTGTAGTATGTCCTGAAGTCTGGTATTGTGATGCCTCCGGCTTTGTTTTTGTTGTACAAGATTGCTTTAGCTATTCGAGGTCTCTTGTGCCTCCATATGAATTTCAGCATCATTTTTTTCTAGATCTGCGAAGAATGTCTTTGGTATCTTGATTGGGATTGCATTGAATCTATAAATGCTTTTGGGAGAATGGACATTTT